ACCGCCGCTGCCGCCAAGATTTGCTCGGACAATGCAGTACATGTAGCAATGACTCTAGACGCATCTTACCTCCGGGGATCCATGGCTGCTATTCTTTCAGTCCTTCAACACTCATCTTGCCCTGAAAATATAATCTTCCATTTTGTGTCTTCCGCTGCCGCCGACACCTCTCACCTCAACCTCACAATCGCAAAGTCATTTCCTTACCTTCAGTTCAACATCTATCGTTTCGATGATTCGCCGGTGGCGGGGTTGATCTCAACTTCTATTCGTGCTGCACTGGATTGTCCACTCAACTATGCCCGCAACTATCTGGCTGATCTGCTCCCAAAATGCGTTCAAAAGGTTGTTTATCTAGATTCCGACCTCGTACTCGTCGATGATATTGCTAAACTTGCTGCAACTCCTCTAGGCAATGAAGCAGTTTTAGCAGCACCTGAGTACTGCAACGCAAACTTCACCTCCTATTTCACGCCCACATTCTGGTCCAACCCTTCTCTTTCCTTAACCTTCGCGAATCGAAAGCCTTGTTATTTCAACACTGGAGTCATGGTCATTGATCTTGAGAGATGGAGAGCCGGGGACTATACAACGAAAATTGTGGAATGGATGGAGCTGCAGAAGAGAATGAGGATTTATGAATTGGGTTCTTTGCCACCTTTCTTGCTTGTTTTTGCCGGAAATATAGCTCCGGTGGAACACCAGTGGAATCAACACGGTCTCGGCGGTGATAATTTCCGGGGACTATGCCGGGATTTGCATCCGGGTCGGGTAAGCCTCTTGCATTGGAGTGGAAAGGGTAAACCATGGGTTCGACTCGACGCCAACCGGCCTTGCCCTTTGGATGCTTTGTGGGCACCTTATGATCTATTACAAACGCCATATATTATTGATTCTTGAGGTACGAGCCTACAAACTATGAAAAATTTCTCGTGCAATATTTCCTATTTTGGTAACTATTTTCAATTTCTAATTAAATTTCTTCATTTTTTTTTTTTCAGAATTTTTGTAATTAGGAACCACAAGAGAGATGAGAGATCTGAAGCTGGAGATCCTACTCTACTGTGTTAAATATATTACTAATATACAGTCCGATTTTTCTTCCGTAAGAAAAATGGAGTTAACGGTGGAGACGCCATACCTTATCAGATATCGAGACATCAAAAATGATTATCACGTGAGTAAAGACGTTTGTATATTACATATAGCTACAGATAAAATATTTATGTACTTCGGAAATAGTTAATTACAGTTGAAATAATACTTATGTTAGAATTCAATATTCAATTTGCCATGCATTGTTTGAAAGAATCACCATTATTGTTTTATATTTAGAAACAAAAGTAATAATTAACAAAATGGGAAAGCGCATTCAATTACGGATATTGATTTGTTAAACAGCGCCATCAATCTTAAGATGCTTCCAAACTCTCTTTTTACTTTTTTTTGCACGATTTTCTTTTTCTTTAATGTTTGTTGATACTAATGAATTTTTTTATTCAAACTTACTTTACTATTTCAATTTAATGAAATTACAATTCTTATGTATCGAGTAAAAAAACAAAATACTAAAGATAATTAAGGATTGTTACTTTCTTCTATATAATGATGTTACTTTCTTTTTCATTTTTCGAAAAATAAAGCTTGTAGTATCTTAAGTTTTTTATAATTATTAAAATAAATTAGAACTCTTTCCATATATCAATCATAAAATATTTGACGTTACGAAAAAAAAACACTCGAGTATGTTGTAGGGATGAGTAATCGAAGAGTTGCTACTACACAAACAAGTATCAAAAGGGGTGTTAGGAAAGAATTTTTATTACTTGAGCTCAATACAAAATTTTGAATGATAAGTAACAATCCAAATTAAATATTTTGATGTTTTTGTACCAACAATGTTTTAGAGACATGGGGACGATGGAATTTATGTAGAGAATGCATGCATTTTACACGTTCATTGAGTGTCATAATGTTCACCTCTCAAATCTAGGCAGTCCGTAGATAATTAATATTCGAACTTAAAATTTTACAAGATAAGATAGTTTGTACATGATTATCGAGTGTGTTTGATGCACATTTTTTAACAGAGAATGCATTTTTTTTATGATGTGATTGTGAATATGTGGTTGAAAAATAAGAAAAGGTTATTGATGTAATGAAAATATTATTTTATTGAAAAATGTGTAATTGAAAATAGTAGAAAAATGAGAATATGACTCAAACAGGGGCCGAATAATATTTAAAAAATTTAAATTTTTATTATACTATCATACCCCATCTCTTATTGCAAGCCTTTTTTCTGTGGGGATTAAAATTAGATTTTGAGCAGATTTTGATAAAAGTTAATGAAATATATGATTAAAAAATTGTGGGTCCCATAAGATACATGATTAAAATTAATTGTTAACTTAATTGACGACAAAAGTATAATTTAAGTGACATAAAAATGTTGACTAACTTGTCAAAAGTGTTTACTACCTTTTGGTTAAATCCTTTCACCATGAAAGTCGAAGATTTCTTTGTCGTCCACTTCTTTCTTTTTAATAGAAAAAAACTACTCTGAGGTTAAAATTACCTTCATGCATTCGAGGCGAACTAATAGCTGAACAAATTGGAGTGTTCTTTAATTTATTTATTTTTTTTATTAGAATATCCAAAAGATTATACGCACAATATTTCAAACGTGTGAACAAAGACAAAATAATATCAAGAAAAAGTATTTAAGAAAAACTGTGTCGGCAGGCAAACATAATATGAAGAATTAACCATAAGCCATGGCCCATGAGAACATGGCCGCAATTATTGACAATTCAAGGCCACATGTTTCAAAACCCTTCCATGTGGGCCTCTAGAAAGCAACCTTTGGACTACGTATTCCCTTCAACTAAATCAAAATCAATAATTAAATATAGGAACCACAATTTTTATCAATTTTCAATCATATATTTCATCATCTTTTATTAAAATCTACTAAAATTTTGATATTTATGAAAAACTAATCGAGGGCACAGTGAATAAGTCGTTTGAACTTTTGAAATTACCTTCACTCAGAGCATGTTATGAAAGAGTCTTTGAGAAGAAGCTTTCGAATCTTTCGCTTACTCAAGTTTTCTGCTCTGATTAAAATCTCGAAATAAGTCGAGTCCTCACAAGATAAAGGCTCGAGAGAATTTCCTTTAGATCAAAACGTTGTTGAGTCACTACTAAAGAAGCTAGAGTAAATTAAAAGCAATATGAATAAAAGTAATTTTGATTCTAATAAAAAAGGTTTATTCTACAAAATATGAAAAACGTTCATTTGATCAATTTAGGCGTAGGAACCCACAACATAGCTATTAGACCATTCATGGTCTTGATTGAGACGTAAGATCATCACATGAATATTGTCGGGTTGTATAACTAGAAAGAATTTAGCACCGTGAAAGGTGCAAATTTCCATATTGATGTATCACTAAAAAATTTTTATATGCGTGTAAATAACTTTAACAAAGATTCAATTTTTCTATAATTAATTGCTAATTAGAGGAAATTAAGTCTATTCAGTTGAAAATTGAAATTTACATCTCAATTTGTAAGATACTAAGAATTGAAATTTAAGTCATTATCATGTTTGTTGACCTTAAAATCTGTTGGGACACGTGACCAACAAAATCCCGACTATCTCCCATCCACATTAACACTACCTGCTCACTAGAACACTCCATTAGAAAGCAAAGATTGTTAGCCAAGAAAAAAGTCCCAACAAATATCCCAACGATCAAGTCAATGGCTAAGGTTAGATTCACATACCTTTTATAAAAGGGACTCTTATATAGAGAAATGAAGATGAGACAGTCAGTTTAGTGAAATGGCCCAAAGTTCAAGCCTAAGACGAGAATGCTTAATTTAATAGGCTTGATCAAATTGAATAATCGATGTCGAGTTGGTCAATGTGGGACCCTCTCCGTTACGTGCATGCCATGTAATTTATACACATAACAATGTCAAAAATTTCTTTGGAGAAAAAACGTAAATCATTCTCTACAGAAAATGAAATCCTAATTCTCCCTATGGTTTTATGCAATTTGTGCGAATTTAGATTTGATTTTCATCTTCCCACCATACTATGCCCTTTTTTGGTGACTTTGTTTTTCATTCTTCGTGTTTTTAGCCTATATAGTTGGATCCATTTTCAAAGAATGTGAATCTAATTTTGCGAGTCGAAATCAACCTAGAGAGATACGATGTTGTTGAAGGACCTTCGAGAAATGTTGATTTGCAGCCTTTCTACACCTAAGGTATAAGTTTGATTCTTACATTTCTTTTATAGTTTTTAGTCTTGTTTCTACTTGTTTAGCCTTTGGCATTGTTTACATAAGTTGCTTTGTAGGGGGAAGGTTTTATGCATTGCACTTTAGATACGAGGTGTCACCGCTGGTGTATGAGAAATCAATCCGAGGTAGTATTGACAAAAGATACATTAGAAGAGATGATCCGAGCTATGAAAATGAGACGTCTAATGTATCTGATCTATCAGAGTTAAGATGATCGTTCAAACTCGATAGACAATTGAACATAATGAATGACACTACTGACTTTTACGGTATACAGATTCAGTTTTGTTATAAAAATGTAGATACGTGGCTGCAGCTTTGATGCCAATAATCACGTTTAGTCTCACGTATACCCTAAAAGATACAATCACACTTATCCTACAAAAGTTATTTCCCTCGAAAGGAAACATAATTATACTTTCTACAAAATTGAGAAATCCAAATTAGAACAAAACTTGGAAGATGATCCTTCTCTCATCATCTTTTTGTCTTCTTAAATGACTTCCCTTTATTACGACCTAAATATTTCTCAATCTCTTCCTGGGCATCACCTTCACCTCCTTTCCGCCTCTTATTGCCTCCGGTTTCTTTGATTTTCTGCAGAAGATTTAAGAAAATAAAATCATGATATTATATTTATTGCCTACAAAACACAGTCCAACAAAATGATGAGAATAGCTATATCTCAATTGTGCAAAACTATAAAACGGTCGTCAACCATGTGTCAAACTAATTGATACGAAATAGAAAAGGAATTCGAAAGAAATCAATTCGATGATGCCCATAATGTCAACGCAATCTGAGCAACAATTTAAAATATATCAGAAATACAGCGTTTAAGGTTTCATTATAGTAACTTGGTACTTTCTGGTCAAACTGTAATTTTAACTACGCATTTACAGTTACTGCCTACTTAATAGTCACACATTCCCTGGGACACATTACTCCTCTCATTATAACCTCTTTATAATGACTGTCAAGCCCACATGACACTAAGAGTGTGTTTGTTAATGTTGACTACGGTACTAGATAATATTAACAAAGAAAGGAAATTAAAATCTTATTTTATCATTCTGGATATCTTAGACAATGTTTCCTGGGTTTTCATAAATTCTATGAAATTTGTTCCAACTTGCGGCAGAGCTTTGAGCAATTATGGATGGGCTATGACTTGGTTGTAGGTTGGTCTCACGCATGCCTGGATTGAATCTGATTCTTTGATGGCAGTGCAATGCATAAGTGAGAATGGCAACAGGCCTTGGAGTATTCAAACCATGATTAAATTCACCAATACAAGTTGGGCTTTAATTTTAGAATCTCTGATATATATAGATAAGGGAATAAGGTGGCTGGTTTTTAGCTAATGAGGGGTGCACTATGCAATTTTACAAAGAGTTGATAGGCAATAAAATTCAATTGAACCTTAATAGTATTTTGCATCTTGGTCTGGATCAAAGAAATAACAATTGCAGAGCATCGAGGGTCACTTTTAGCTGTAGCTTCATCTTTAAATTTCTAAAAGATCGCTCTCTGCTACGTCTCGAGGTAAGTCTCTTACTAAATCATAACTTCTTTCTATTAATATACAAGGTATGGGGACCCGCCATCAATATTTTGGTAGGATCTTAAAAATTCCAATCTAGGTGGTGGTGGATTTTCTTAAAAAAAGTTAAAATCTTATTCATTTGTATTGCCTAGTCTTGTCTAGTACTTACATATCAAACACGCCCTATTAGTGAACCAATTTAACACATTCAGAAGAATATCCAACTCCTGAGTTCAACTACGGCAACCAACTTTTACTAAGCAGAATTAATTTAAAACTATGATATCAAAAGAATGCTAAATGCCTACCATCACAGATATTCTTTTGGCCTCGGTTACACGTTCCAACAGTTGCAACACCTCATCCAGCTCAGCAGGGTACTTGGGTAACTTTTTGCCTGAAACAGAAACAATATTTGGTCTATAGAAACTAAAGGTCGGATAGCTCCGCCAAGACATTATTTAAATGTGCTTCTTACCAATAAGTTGCTCTATCTGCAGGTACCATCCCATCTCGTATTGATTGATCAGTGAAATTGCAATCCCAGAGCGTCCAGCACGAGCAGTTCTTCCAACCCGATGTATATAATCCTGAAGACGTTTTACAAAATGACAATATATGATTAAATTGACAAAAAACAGAAGACTGTGTGCATGTTTGATTGGTGATTATTTTATTATCACTTCTGATCAAACATACTTTTTATCCACACATTTTGAATTAACCAAAACTACTAATATCCACTTACTATCCCCACATTCCATAAGACCCAAAAACTAAAAATAACTTCAATTATAATTTTATCGCCAACCAAACATGCACTATTTGTAGCATTCTAGCCAGTACACTTTTTATTTGACAGCAGAGAATTCATATCTTGATTATAGTACCTCATGAATGTAACAAACATTAAAAGGGGACAAGCACTGACCAAAGACACTAAGAAGTGATGAAACATTAAGCACAAGTGGTATGGAGGAAGAAACCTTGAAGAGCAATTTAGATTTCAAAAAATTCAAATTATACATAATATTACATGAGTTAGCTATAAGTTTATAATACTACAGTAGATGGCCAAAAGCAGCATACATCATTTCAGCTCAGTTTTCCCAACCTCACAATAGCAAGAATAATAAAGAAAATACGACATACCATTATAGTTGCACCAGACTCTGTTTATGGAGCCAGAGATATGGTGATCATTTGCTCATTTGGTTATAATGAGTCCACAGAATGATTTGGAGGGATTTTATTCACAGATTATGTTTTTCTATCCATCTTCTTCTCGTAGTCTTGTATGATTTTTCTACTTAATAATTGTCTCTTTTTTTTCAACAAACAAATTAACTTTTTAGTAGCCAGAGAAGAAAATTATATCGCCATTGTTTTGGCTCCATTCTAATGAAAATTTGAGAAAAAATGTATTTTGAAATATTTATTTTTTGGAGAATGTGTGGTTAAAAAACATGAAAAAGTTTTGGGTTTACGTGTGATATTATTTTATGAGAGAATGTGCATGCGTTGAAAATGAGTTTTGAAAAAATGGAGCCTAAACATGGGCATTACAAGTTATTAACTTGCATTTACATAATTAATATGGAAGGGATGAAAGGAGCAAAATTTTAGACAGGTTGCGCTAACAATAGCCAGTCAACATGAAATGGGAAATCAGATATTGGATATCGTGGAAAACAGACACGTTTGGAACAAGAACATAGTTTATAAACCACAAAGAATAGAGCTTAACCTTTGAGTTGATGGGGATATCGTAGTTGATAACCATATCTACAGATGGGATATCAAGTCCTCTACTGGCAACATCAGTACAGATAAGTATGTTGCACTCTCCAGACTTGAATTTGTTTAAGGCTCCAAGTCTTTTTGCCTGCAAATAAAAGCCAAATGAAATGTGAAAGTGTACGGAAACAGACTATATTGGAAAAACAGACTGTTTACATGTGAAACACAACTGTCAGCATGATATTTAAACAATACCTGGCTCATATGACCGCTAATTGGAATAGCTCTAAAGCCAAGGTTCCGAAGAAGGTAAGCCAAAAGACCAGTTGCATCACATGTTCGAGTAAAAACCATAGATGTACTTTCTGGCTTCTCGGTGAGAATAAAAACAAGATGGCACTCCTGCAGCAAATAAAAAATATAAATCAAAAACCAAAAGAGGAACAATATGAAATAATTTCGCAGAGAATATCGTGCAACTTCTACTTTAATATAATTACCATTGCAGAAACATGGTGTAGAGAACAGCAAAAAAAAAAAGGGTTCTATTTTACTTGGCCTATGTTTGGCTAATGTTTATAAACACTCAAATCATTTTTCATCCACACATTTTGAGGGATTCACAAGTACTATCCACACTACTCATTCCCATCTATTTATAATTTAGAGGCTGTCTGGGCGCAATTTCCTGGGCCAAAAAATTGATTTTTCAGCCGTTAATTTCAACAAGGGTCCCACCAATGTGAGGAGGAGGTCAACAAGTGTGGCTCCAACGGTACAAAAAAGGATTAAAATCTTGGGGAAAATTGGAAGCAGACAGGCTATTAAAAGGTTTATAAACACTTCCCAAATATATTTTTAATCTGAACTTTTCTCCAAGTTCATTCCAACCAGTAGAAATTAAATTCATAATAGTTTTACCCCGAATGTTCGTATTTGTTGAACAATCATATTCTATAAGTAACATTTATCGCAGCAGCCCTGTAAGGAAGTACAGAACTGGGCAGGTCTAAAGCTCAACCTATTACAATTAGGCAAAAATTATCCACTACCCAAAAGGTACCGGGAGTTGAACTAGTGACTCACCATGTGATGTGATAAACAGTGCCCATTTTCCCACAACGTTTTGCTGTAGGATGTTACAATCATAGTGCCCCATAGTAAGAAGACTAATAGGTGAAGTGATGATGAGTTAGCAAAAAAAGAACCACAATATGAACTAAAACCGCACTATTGTACCATAGTGTTGACTCGATATTTTCCACCTTATCCAGACAAAATAACCCGTACAAACATATAATTCCAACAATATGCAATAATCACTGTCTTAATGTTCATACAGTGGCTTCATAGAGGACCAGCATACAACATTAGGAAGTCTCTTGTCTGCCAAATTGAAGCTATAGAAAGTCCATACCTTATACTTCGCCGGAACAAAGCAATACTGCTGCTTAAGCGTATCAACGGTGGAATATTTGGATGCAGCTTCAATCTATAGTATAAAATAAAAAAAATGACATAAATATTCAATGAGAATTTTTAAAAAATGAAAAGCAAGTACGTACACAATATACCTTCACAGGATTTTTTAGACAAGCTCTCTGGAGCTTTTTCACCTGTTACATTGAGTAACAGAACTTATTAGGCAATTGAGATTATTTGCAACTACATTCCATTTCCTTGCAAATAACTGATATCTGATTTTTTGTAAAGATTATTTACATGAGCTATACATGGAGCAAAAAGAAACAGAACTCGATAGCCACAGCAAATGAGAATAAAGGAAAATTTATCTAGGTTTTCTTTTACTCATGAGCCAGTTAAAGCCTGTCTAAGAAAATATCACTATAACAAATAGATTGGGCTTTTTGGTCCACTGCACACAGATGACAAATGTGGTGACTTTCGATTTGCTTCTGCTAGCTGCAGCCAATTCAAACCCAGTAACTGAGTGGATCGATGAAATTGACTACAGAAAACTTGAAGTCTTGAATATATTGATTAGATACAGTATATGCAGAAGCAACAAAAGCAAGGCAAAATGTAAATAACATTTTTTCTTCTAATTAACCAGAAAAAAAGTAAGAACATTCTAAGACATATTGCCAAAAAATTAGTAAAAATGCATATAAAAGATCACCCACAAAACATTAAAAACACCAAACAATATAATCAAATCTTATGAAATTATAAGATGCACTTTGCAGACTGGAAGTAATTGATAAGCAAGAGCTTATCTATCTAGTTATTTTTTTCTTCTTTTTCCTTTTATTAGTTTGTCTGAGAAATTAAACTGACTAGAGGGAAGGGGTCTGTGATCTGCATGATAACAAACAAGATTAACATACAAAGAAGGAATAAAAAATCATGTAACAGGAAAACAACAGCCAACGCACAAAAATGTTAACTACCGTGTAACATCCACAATCACAAAAGTATGACTTAAAAATGATGGAATGGATAGAACACATGTACACAAGTTTATAGCATGACCATTAATTTGCATACCTTTTTAGTCATTGTTGCAGAAAATAAATATGTCTTCCGTTCACGAGGAATAACACCCAAAATTTCATCAATTGTTTTCTCAAAATCCTCGTTTAGCAATCTATCTGCTTCATCTAGTACCTGTCATATAAATAAATAATCACATGCTCACACGATATTTAAACATATAGTCAATGCCATGATAAATTCCAACATTTTATCTTCATTCTTCTTACAACTCAAATTCAAAGCACTTTCATATCATAATATATTTAAGATACAAGAAAAAAAAAGCAATCTAGTTATGGTTTCCTTAATTTCTCATGGGTATTTACGAGCAATTTCTCAAATTTGACTATCCTTCAAATCTAAAGGTGGAATATTACTTATTGAGAAACGTTAAACGTTAATTTGTATTCAATTCTAATTTTGTAATATCCAGTGTTATTTCACGAAATTATAATAGAGCTGGATAGAAAGAGGGAGCTCAATCGGTATGGAGTCTCACCAAGTATTTCAATGCACGAAGAGAGAATCCCTTGGTATTAGAGAGATGATCGACAAGACGGCCAGGTGTTGCCACCTACAACAAGTAGGTCAACAAAATAATCATTTTCAATGGTCAACACTGCAAATAAATGCATGAACGAGAAATCTAATATCCATCAGGAATACAAACTAAAGTAGTTGCGAATGTTCTAAAACTTTAGAGAACGATATGTATCTACACTTGAACCAAGCATCTTAATAAAGAATGGTAGTTTGATTAAGAACTTCACTGATGGAGAGAACCAAATCAGAGATATCAGTCATGCATGAATTTATTTTTTTATTCTACTGGCCCATTGGAGAGAACCAAATCAGAGATATCAGTCGTTCATGAATTTATTTTTTTATTCTACTGGCCCATCCTGATCTGCCACTAAGTGAGGAGCTGAGAACCTAAAATATGGAATGTAGTCAAATGGCAGCTTCGCATTTTGACTCACAACCCAATAGGTATTACCAATCTGATTTATTCCAAGTTGCAATTGGCTGATAAACGTGAAGACGAGCACCGGAAAATTACTGGTGAATAATCACTAACACTTTCTTAATGGCATATTTTCTTCCATTCCCTTTGCATATTCTGCTACAATCTTTTGTGGCTCACTGTGGCAGAAACATTACCCTTCATCAATACCTCCTTTTCGCTCAAGTTTCATTTACATCTATGTAGCTCTGTATTTGAATTTAAAACCATCAATGTAACAAAGTATAAAATCGAATTCAAATGAGATCCCTCCTTTTCTTTCATCCACTTGACGACACTCTGTGCTTGCGTAGCTGCTTTGGGTACTCACAGATTTGAAAATACATTTGGCTAATATTAATCTTGCACAAAAAATTGTGCAGCAGAAGATAAGAAGACTTACAACAATATGTGGCCGCTTCCCAAGCAAAATGCTCTGTTGTGCATGGTCTACCCCTCCCACAAGCTGCAAAAATATTTTTGACAACTCTAATCAATGAAAAAATATCCAACAATAAAAAATAAAACAAGAAACGTGTGTTAAAATTACTTCATATCCTTAAATTTAGTAGCTAAATACTGAAGCATCGTATTTTACCACTGCAGACTTGAGGCCAATGCCGGACCCCAAGGCTTCAAACTGTTCAGCAATTTGTATAGCAAGTTCACGTGTTGGGGAGAGCACGCAAGCGAAAAAGGCTTGCTCTTTTTCGAGAAGAGCTTGTATAATTGGGATGGCAAAGGCACCAGTTTTACCCGAACCGGTTTGGGCGAGACCGATTATGTCCTTCCCTTCAAGGGCAAGAGGAATCGCTTCAATTTGTATCTTGGTGGGGACTTTCCAGCCTAAACTGTCACAGGCATCAACTAATTGTTCATTTACTCCCAAATCTTTGAAGGATTTTTCTTCTTCTTTCTCTTCCGCCATCGCTAGGGTTTAGGAAGCTAAGAATCCACGCTTGTCCTTGAAGAAATTTGAAAATCCGCCACCAACTAGGGTTCCTTTTGTTCCGTTATTTCAATGGTCGACTCCGCGGGTGGGTTTCTGCTATACTCTACCGCTTTTTATTAACTCCACAATTTTTATATGAGATACCCTACAACTACATCAAGGGATACATAAAGGTGTCCATAATGGACACTCGGTGCAATCCTATTGAATGGAGTGCGGGTAGGGCCAGCACTTCATCCAATAGGGGGCGTCGGGTGTCCATTATGGACACCCTTATGTACCCCCTAATGCACACTTAGCATTTTCCTTTTTTTATATAGTTCAACTTTTAGAAGGATAATTATATTATATTTTTAATCTCATATAAATTTAGTTAAATAGACATATAAAAAAATCAAATAAAAATCGCTCTAAATTCATTCATTAACTTTTATTTAAATAAATTCTTTTAAACATTTTCAATTTTCACATACTTTATCCAAACATTTGTTTTGTGCCACCGGAAGTACCAACGTTTCAAAAATATGCGCCAAAGGTCCAAATGGATTGTTTCCGTCCAGTTGACCGTTAGTTGACTCCAAAAAATTATTTTTACATCAACAAAGGGTAAAATGGTAACTTCATAATTTTAACATGAGAAAAGGAAAATAAAAGAAGGTTACCCCACCCCTCCCCTAAAAAACAATCATTCATTTTTCGACAACTTTCGGTCCCCAAAACCGCAGGATATTGATACCAGTGGAAAGCCCTTTAACGCCTTCTTCAATGACATCCCAACATCCACTCATAACAACCATACACATGCTCAGACAACCCTACCCGATCGTTTGCCCATACCCAAACGACCCTAGCCATAGCCCCAATTTATCCTAAACATCCCTCTAACTGAACGAATTTATCTCAAAATACTTCCCACTCGTGATTGTCGAATAGCTGGGTCCAAAAAATGGAGATTCCAAATCCGTCCGACTAACCTATGGTCGCGGACCACCTAGGCAACCTTACTCTCCTTCTGGCGCACCTAGCCCACCTATAGGTCAAGCTCAATTGCAACCAAAAATCAATGAATTTATGGGCAAAGTTCAAGAGGCGCTGTGCCAAAATTTTGGTACTCAGTGGTGTTGGTGGTGCCAACGGTGTGCCGATGGTGGTGCCAGCACTGTTGATGCTATGAAGGAGAAACTAATTGTTTGTATATTTATTTTTTATTTTTTTGTTTTTTTAAAATTTATTTAATGAGAAAATTGTCAAGTTACCATTTAACCCCTCCTAATTTTGTCAAAATTGGTCAAAATCTACTATTCTCAGTCAACTAACGGTCAACTGGACGAAAACCGTCCATTTGGACCTCCGGTGCATATTTTTGAAACGTTTTGTATCTCCGATGGCACAAAACAAATGTTTGGACAAAGTCTTAAAAAAATGGAAAGGTTTGGTACTATAACTGCAATTTTCCCTAAAATTTATGTGGATTTATAATGTTTAAATGAATGAATTTAATTAATAATGACAATACTGGAATTTAAAGTGGATGAAAATAATAGTTTTTTTAAAAAAATTAATAGGGATCGATATAGAGTGTGATAAATATATAAATGTCGTTGTAAATAGCGGTACCCTTTTTCTTTTTATTGCCTCAAATATTAAAATTAAATTTTTAGTAGATTTTGATAAAAGTTGATGAAATTATTTATGATTAAAATCAGATTTTTAGTAGATTTTGATAAAAAATGATTAAATATGTAATTGAAAAGTTGTGGGAACATAAAAGATATGGTTAAAATTAGTTGTTGACTTTGACTGAATTTCAATTTGTACTAGGGGCATTATCCAAAAAATATTTAAAAAAAAAATTCAACAAAATTAAAAGATCAGATATTTCAATATGTATATGAGGTGCATGTTTCGAACCTTTTTTTTTTTTTTTTTTTTTTTTNTTTTTTTTTTTTTTGATAAGTCCAACTTAATGATTTTAATAATTTTATATATTTTTCTAAATTAATATATTTATCTATAATGTATCATATATACGCACATGTTTGTTGTAGATTAAAATCAGAATTTTAATTTAAATCAAAATCAACAATACTTTTCAATCACACATTTTATCAACATTCATCAAAATTTACTAAAAATATGGTGTTAATCCCATCAAATAGGGACTAAGGCATGTTTGTCATCCTTTAAAAAATTAAATTGTTTACTACAGTATCATTTCTTCATCATGCATTCACAAAATAAATTATTATACACACAAATCAATAAACTTTTCTTACTTTTTAACCTCATATTTTTCAAAAAATACTATTCAATAACTCATTATTCTCAAATAAATTCTATCAAACGGGCACTAAATATTTATCTTCATCAAATAAACTGTCAATACTTTAGTGGATGAATTTTACTTGTATTTAAATAACGATGCTATTTGTATATAGGAATTCTGTCAGAGTCAAATCTCACGACATATATATATATATATATATATATACTAGGTGTAAGCAACGTGCAATGCACGTTTGCTTAGT